TCTGTAAAGTTCAAAATGAGTGACATGATACAAACACCGGAGGGGTGGCGAATAGGATGAAGTATGTGGGAGGGGACCAAGAGAAAACGCACGATTGGTAAGATGGAGTAACCATTGTCCACAAATTGAAAAAGGGAAGTTGGTTCGTGGGGGGGGGACAATTGCACAGATGTTTGCGCAAGGGAAATTAACTGATGAAGGAAGGAGGACCTGTAAGCGAAGGGAAGTGCCGCCGGAGGGCGCGAATGCGACGAAAGCCTAGACGAGTGGCACATTGGTATTGCACCTGGTGGCAACGAACGACTATCTATATGGGCGAACAAGAAAGGGTATGCTTTTTTATTATGAGTCGGGAGAGCAAACAGCAAGTCTAACGTGTAGACTATTCTCAGATTGAAAACTAAAATTGTCATGGCCACAAGTGGGTGATCGCACAGCGCCCACGATGAATCGGGGCGCAGGGACACCTACACAGGCAGGCTCACAAGGCGCAATAGTCATCATCGAACGGGTAGAGGGGTAAAGGAGGATAGAAATGAAACTCACTTTCGGTACGGAGCCTAAAACAAGAAAAAACACTGACTTTAAGTAAAGGAGGAAAGCGGATTTTCAAAAGGTATTATAAATAAATGTTCAAACATTATTGCGACATTTTCACTTTCACTAGCGCCAACTGGCGACTTCGTCTCCCGCAAATGCGCGGGAAGGAGGGCCTCAGAGAAACCCAATAGGGGGTAGGGAACCAAACGATGCAGACAGCATGAAGACGGTCTGTGACTTGGAGGTAGATACCTGGGAGATCAAACGTACTTTCTATTGACTACGAATAAATTGTTGAACGATTAGAGCAAAATGAACAGCGAAACAAACTTCCCAGCGCCAACGACAGGAATCATATCGTAGTTAAGACCATAAACAACCTTTTTTACGGGAAATTCCAACATCTGACCGACTGCATCACCAAATACCCTTTTGCTGTCCTTCCCACTAACTGGAGTGTTGACGCCGTAACTAAATGCTGAGTTGGAAGGACTGGTCATGCATAAAGGAGACGGAGAAAAGATGAGCAACGCTTTGTCCTCAATCACTTCTTCGAAAACAAGGCGAAATTCCAAAACAGGCACAGACGCAAGATCGCCTGGTAGTCACACATGGAAACTGAAAGTAACGCGGCTCAAAACAAGATATGACAAAGAGCATGAAAAAGCAAACATTTCTCGTCAACATGGACGAGAGGCTGTCGGAAGAGCCTGGACAGATTAGAACTTCGCACATCACAAGCTACAGGAGTCATAAAGGGACTTTACCGCAAATCACGCGGAGGTCACAGTGACAGCTCGACCGTCGTTTTCGACAACATCCACCGTGTGCTGCATGGTGGAGTGACAGTAAGGATGGAGACTTGTGCATGAATTCGCTTGTAGTGACAGTAGACTTGCACAGCATTCACCGCACTCCCTCCTCCCCTACCTCGGCCCGCTGGCATAAAAGAGTCAGTAAGACCGGAGGTGGGAGAGGCCGCAGGTGGCTGGCACAGCGAAAACCCGCACCATCACGCCAGTTTGAAGCCCAGTAAGTGCGAGTTCCAGAGACGCCATAGAGGCCATTTCAGCCCGACTCTCAGTCCACCAGTCGGCCACTCCACACCAACACACAGAGTTGACTGCGAAATCCGAGTTATCACGCGAGCCGGCAACTTCTATGCCACGGCTTTTGGTCCATCGAGATGGGTTCAAACGCCTCAAACTGTTTATGGTGAGTAAGTGGCGCTGAGACCATCGATCTCGCTTTCTCTATTCCCACTCCCAAACACCAGTCTACTGTCCGAGCTGGTTGGTTGCCGAATGTGGGAGTGGGCACAGTGGTCGATAAGACTAGAGGGCCCGTCTGCGAGCGCCACGCAAATGACCTGCCTCCCCCCTCCGCAAAAAAACAGAAAACGAACGCACCAGGATTACCCAAAAAAGGAAGGGACCAGAGAAAGGCATGCCACAAGTGCGTAGGCAGGTCACGTAGACATTGCCAAAAAGGCAGAAATCCTTGCAAGGGGACCTAACTCGTCTGTAACAGCACCTGATCAAAATGTACCTCGCACGTTCGATTGAGAAAGCGACAACGCAGCACAGGGATAAGAGAGCTTCTCGCGTGGAGCCATTCACAAGAAAACGGAACAAAGCGGAACAAATATAATCAATATCAGGTGTATGGGTAGAATGAAGTGCCTGGACAGTGACAGAACATTTTTCAACAGGGAGCCGAAAAGAAAACTATATTTTTCGGTGCATTTCGAGCGCACCCACTTGCGACTTATATCGAGGCAAATTATCTGTCGATTGATAAGCTGCATAGGCGATTAGCTTACGGGGAAAATGGGACTGATATTAAGACCAGACTCCCATCAGAGGCTTTCGAGGTTTGCCTGCCGTCTGTTACTCGCTTTATCCATGACAATGTTCGCCAGGTCCGAAAGAATGCACAGTCTCAATAGTTGGAGCGTGGTAGTTTGGCTTCCTCGCCCCGGAGGGGAAATTGAACCTTCCACAGCAACCAGTCTGACCGATACCGTTGGAAAGATTCATGTTGTTTTATCAATTCAGTTCAACTATGCGGCCCTTGGGATGCTCTTTGGGGCACTGACAATACACTAATTTAGCTGTTGGTCTGGTGTGTCTTAGCAGGTACCGACAGCTAACAACAGCCAGGTTCGCAAAATAACGCGGGCACGCACTGAACCTTGTTCGGGAAAGCCCGAAATAAACCTATAGCATGCCCGAAAACGCAGAAGACCTGAGTGGGAGGTTTCTCATATGCCTGGAGATTGCACAGACTGTGTTGTGGGGCCACAACACTGATTAGCATGAAAAACAACCCTCAGTTCGCTCATACACCACAATCGATTGACACTGACTCGAGCATCTTTCCAGGCACCTGCGCAAACCATAGTCGAGAGGCGCAACTGCCTTGGTCGTGTAGTCCTCAAAATAATTCTTGAGGCGAACACAAAGTCCTTCATGTTTACCAAAGGGCCAATTCATTCATTCTGCTCATTTCGTAAGAGGTGAAGTCTTCTTCAATTTCTGTAGGGGTATCCCTGTTTCTTGAAGAACCGCATTTACAAGGTTTTTTTTGGGGAATATGCATGTAAGCTACTACTGTCGAGTCTATCAATTCGACTCAAAATATCTGCTACGTGATCCACATATTGAGCGGATTTATTAGCGCAGTGAGCTGTCAAAATAAGAAGATGAGGCCTTAAACACACAGTAGACATGCTAACACATAAAATGTTAACCGAAATTCTCAAATGGGTTTTCCACTCAAAAGGACTACTTAAGTAGGGTTGTAATGTTAATAACTGCAGAATTATCCCATGATAATTCAGTTACTTCAGGATGCCGGCTTTCGGACGGGCTTTCTTTCGGCCGTCTGCAAAAATCGCACTCAACAAAAAATGACTACATAAGTAGCATGAAATTTTCCTTTTTATTTCCGGTGCCCTTATAAATTCAATATATTTCATGGAAAATATGCATTCCAGTATTCATCCCTTTACTTATTTGGTAGAAAAGTACGTCTTCTTCAAATCTTATACTTAAAGGAAGGGTATAATTCGGTTTTAAAAAAGTTTCAAATTATGAGATTTTTTAAGACCGTAAAATGTCCGTACACAAAACATCGTGTCTCTGCATTAATCAATGTTGCTAGTAAAGTTTTCAAATTCAAGGATAAATTTTATGGACCCCTATACAGTCTCTTCCTAATACCAAAGAGAAATGTACGATTTTCCGTGCACGGAAAATAGGAAGCTTGTAGTTTGGAAACCCTGAATGAAACTGTAACGGCATGTCCGTTTCAAAATTATTCGGGAATTGGGAAAGTTTTTTAGAACCGAATTATACCCTTCCTTCAAGTATGAAGTTTGAATAAGACGTACTTTTCTACCAAATGAGTAAAGGGATGAATACTTGAATGCATATTTTTTATGAAATTTATGTGCACCAGAAATAAAAGGGAAAAGTTCTGGCTACTTATGTAGTTATTTTTGCCGAGTGTGATTTTTGCAGGCGGTCGAAAAGAAGCCCGTCCGAAAAGCCAGCATCCTGAAGTAACTGAATTATCATGGGATAATTCTGCACAGTTATTAACATTACAACCATACTTAAGTAGTCCTTTTGAGTCGAAAACGCATTCCAGAATTTGGGTTAAAATTTCACGGGTTAGCGCACCTACTGTAAATTCGCATTTGATAAAAAAAGCACACAGCTTGAAACCTCAGGAATAGACGAAAACATCGGCCGTCCTTCAAAATGCTCAAGAAGTAGCCCAGGTGTGTTTAAACCGAAATATACCCTTGCTTCGCACCTGCCACGAGAGCGGCTTCAAACGCCATCATCCAGGTCCCACGCACTAAGCAGTAGGTGCCCGACTCAAGACCAGAGAGCAGCCGTTAATAGCCCGGTACATACCCCAAAAATGGTAGGAGAATTAGGGACATCTAGTACATAGATTGCCGGGGAATACCGGAGGCAGCAAACCGGACGACTTTCATGAACTGGACATAGGAAATTACCAGTACGGCGAAAAGCAAAAAATTAAATCGGCCAAAGACTCATAGTTCAAGTGAAAAAAAAACCAGTGGCTGGAAATAAATTGGCTTACCCCATGGAAAGACGTATGCGGCAGCTTCTCTGTGTTTAGGAGGATGGTAGAGACAGGCAGTGGACATCAAGGCGACTAACATGCTGTCCCTTCAAGGGACCAAAATCAGACTACTTTCAGGAGTTGTGGGTTGGTAAGACGGAAAAAAGAAAGTGCTTCGCGCCTGATGGCCATCACCGGGGTGGTTGGGTCTGTGGATACCGAAAACGCATAATTGTGTTCACGGGGGAAATCTCGAGTAAAATTGACTGATCGATAATGTTGAGGAAAATGGCCAGTGATATAGAAATCGCATTTTGACAGAACACACGAGGGCGAACGTGAGTGTACATAGGTCCAGCTCAGCCCTGGTAGGCGGTTGGGGTGCCCGTGTCAGGTATGCTGGACTCGCCATAGCTCAAAACGCTCTGGTGGCTGAGGCTCTGGCGACTACCATGGAAACTAAAACGTTGGAAGTATGGTCCATCTAAAAGGCCGGAGAAAACCGTCTTCTCCACCGGTGTTATTGCTACGTTTTCACGTTGAAATTCGTCGGGAATGTACTTGGTGTCCATTTCGTTCTCCACATCGGGCTTCCAAGGAGGGGGGATATCTCTGAAGATGAAATGAAAGTCAGAAATTGACGCTAGAGTCTGCTAGAAGATGCACCGTAAAGCAGAAGAGAAGCGGGAACTGCGATCGCAAGTTAAAAAAAAAGGTGCTTATCGGCTGCTTCGGACCACCGATGCGATGTCTCGATCTAAGAGTGGGCGACCAATAAGAGCATAGTATTAATGAAGAACCCTTCGCTGCTGACTGTGGTGTGAGAGCCTCGGAAACTGAAACAACAGAATTTTGTTAATATCCGAAATATAGGGTCACTGAAAGGATCTTTCAGCCCAGAATGAATCAATATAACCGACAGTTGGTCAGTCGTATTCGACAAGAACCATCACTGATCCATAAGAAAGTGGTAGCCCGCGAGTTTGACGATACGGAGTTAGACTTGCGCAGTGCCCAGCTGGCCTCCGCATTTCACACCCATCATTTTCTAAAAACTAGATAAGGTCAGAGCAGCTGGAAATTGGCATAGGCACGGCTGTTGACCTGATTTAAAGTGTGTCTACGGATGCCGCAATTGTTGGTACCTCGATTCATGAGAACCAGACTGCGCTCACACAAATCTCAGATCGGAGAGAGTCGCCATGAAGTCAAATTAGCAGGGAGTCATTGCAACCTCATTTTCAGACCGAAGAATAAAGTTAGCGAGTCAGTTAGTAATCGTCCAACCAACGGCCTCCTGCGAGCTGAAAAAGCTCAAAAACGCGTCGCATTATGGTGCAGTCACGCAGAATCTACCAGCCTCTTCTTTCTTGCCCTCTGCCAGTATCAGGACCAAGTCAAACTACATGGAAAGGAAATGGGGTGCAATGTTCGGTGTAACAGCTCATTCTATCGCGAGGACTTTGATAGTTCCTTCACCGTGAGCGGCAGGAGTCACCACTGCCTTGAACAGTGTGCAGTGGTGGCTTGATCACGAAATAGGCATGTGCTACATCCGTCCTTTCTCACTTTTCTTCCGACAATAAGAGGTCGAGATGAAAGCATATTGGACATTTGCAGAGGCTGGCGAAGTCAAATGGCCCCTCACGCATATCACACACGATCTGGTCACTAACCCCCTGCGTACCAGGGCTCAAAGAGGGAATCCCAGATCGCATGGAAGTGAGAGACACCAAAAAGATCGCATTAAACAGCCATTGTAGAATGAACCTTATCTCAAAGAGGGGCCGGGTTATTTCGGACGCTGTCAACCATTCAGTCGACGATTGTCAGCCCACCATGGAAGATGTAAAAGCTCGTTTGACCGTTAATCGTGGGGAAAATAAGCGTTCACTGCGAGCTGGGCCGACCTCACTCTTCCCCACTCTGTCTAGGCGGCCATTTCGAGTGGAGAACAGATAGGATGCAGTGACTGACGTGACATAAAGCGGCTGTTTAACGGGTGCCACACTCATGTACACAATAGCTGAGGGGTCACGTAGACTCAATACAGCCCGACTAACGCATGCTACAAATCAAAACGGTCTCTGCTTTGGTCTAGCCCAACAGCAAGGCTTCTACTCAAGAGACAGTTGGAGGTCCCCGACACCGCCAAAAGGACCCGCTAAAATGAAGTCCTTTTACGAGGTGACTAAAAACACTATCAAAAGTTCTGCACTTGGACTCGCAGTCAAAGTAATAGCTTCCACATTGCCTCCACCGACAAAGGAAGTTGTGTAGGATCAAAGATCTGGTGCGCAGACGTGGGCGGCAAAAGTAGCCATACCACTGGTCAGACAGCCAACACGGGCTCCGTCATGACATGGTAGGGACGGACCAAGTCACATTAATTAAGGCAAGTCCTACAGCAGTGCATTTACATGAGGCAGTTCCCGGGACGTAGGACTACTTCCTGGCGCAAAGGGAAGACGCTTCAGGTTGCCACGACGTCAAACGCTCAGAATGGTGCGATGCCTGAGCGTGTAAATCTAAATGTGGCAGGGCGCGATCATGCGCGTAGTTTATCGTTTGAAGTCACAGAAAGCGCATAACTAGAACTGACACTAGACCTCATTTTCTGTTTGAGCCATTTTTGGCGCAACTTGTTTCTAACATTTGGCCTAAAACGTATCAAATGAAAGATTAATTACGGGAACAACGCGAGGAAGTTGATGTGAGAAGGGGATTTTGTCAGATGACGGAGAGGAATCTGCCGTTTGATTTTTCCAACAGGCATGTGAACTACAAATCAAGGCTCGGGAAGTGCCATACGCACGTGACGGTGAAGTCGGAAAGTGATCAGGCGATCTCCCTGATCGTGTTAATGGATTAATTTATAACTGACTACTTGTCATAGTGTGATAATGAACTTTACTTTGTAATCGAGACTACCACTTTGCTCTAGAGTCACGTCGGGCTGGTACATACTGCTACCAATGTGCAATTCTTGAATTGCCAAACTCGGCAGTCTGAGCACTAGATCGTGGTTCTACGGTTTGACCAATCTGGGTCCGCGGTAAGGTTGGCTGACGGAAGAGGCGGTCGGCGAACCTTTGCAAGAGTTTCGCAACAATTAGATATGTGGGGCCGAAAGCGGGGGCATTCGAACAGTCACGGATAGGAGGGAACAGATTGTGCGCAGAGAATTCCCAAAGAACGAAAAAGGAGTGACATCGGGAATGGTAGAAAAACCGCAAGTTCGCAAGCGACTAAAAGAAAAGATTGACTCTAGAGAAGAACCGCAGGAAAGAGAGCACTAGAATTCACTCAGGCGGCTACTTACTTCCGAATAAGTTTGTCCCAGGAAATAGTTGCGAAGAAAGGATGCATCATGACTTCAATGGCGTCCGCCTTGCCGCCACCAAGACGGGCCGTTGGATCCTTTATGAGTAGGCGCGATAGGATGTCTCTCGCAAAAATGCTTAAATTTTCCGGGACCTTGACACCTTCCTAGAAGTGGACAAGGTGCAGATGACGGAAATAATTACGAGTTTGGAAGGGGTAGACATGAAAAAGTGGAATGTTGAAACAGTTTTCGTTAGTTCGGTTCTGAGCCAGGCAAGTCCGGCTTGTGGTGCGACTGCGAGGGAAGCATTCCTTGTGCCAAAAACAAGGGTAAAGCTCGGAGGGAAGTCATGATTTTACCAAATGTCTAACAGTCAGCACTGAGTCATGGGAAGGGTAGGGCGAGTCACAGATGATGTATGGTCAAACACTACGGCCAGCCTCATTTATAGTTGCTCTGACCCTGTACTTGATACAGCCGTGACTATGCCTGATCTAACCGGTCTCGATGCTGTTGCGAATAGTCTCTCTTCACGCATAGTGATAAGTGGCGGCGGAGCTGACCCAGCCCGGTTTCGACGATGTCCATTGTATGCTGCACGACAGGGTAGAAGCAGGGACGGTGACTTGCGCTGCATCTACCACACTCCCTCCACCTCCCCCCATCTGAACCCGGTGTCAAGAAAGAATCAAGAAGACCGGAGACGGGGGAGAGCGTAGGTGGATGGCACGGTCGAGCCCTCGCCTTGGCGTTCCACTCCACACCCCTTGGTCCACACAGCAAACGACCAGGTTTATGACCAACAACGACAACAATGGGAGGCGGCAGAGGTCCCAGTGTGCGCGACATCTGCCGACAACGGGGTTTGCCATCGCATCCCAAAATAGTGGTATTTGTTACGGTTCGCAATCCGATAACGCCTGACAGAGTCTGATATGGCCCCCGTGTTGATCCAGTGCATCTACCACGTGGCCCGTTTGGGGGGCCCAGTTCACCCATTCACCTCCCTCACTCACACATGACTGTAGAATGAAATACAGATATCCCGATTTGCTGTAGAGCTCAACTTCAGGACCTTTCCAGGAGGTCACATGGACGCGACCAATCAACTATTAAGGTCTCCCAAGTACTTGTTGGCGCGAACTCGCTATTAGCCCCGCACTACGATCACCCAGGCTGTATGATCAATAATGCGATTTACTCGCTCTTTGGTAAGCTGTGTGCCTTAACGACAGCGCCGTCGCAAGCTGAGGGCCTAACGTTTGATCACAGACCTCAGGTAGGTAGAAAGCCAATTATTCGCGGTCTCGCAGTGTGAAATAAAAGACTAATGCTGAAGTTAACAGAGTAGACCTCAGAGAAGTGATGCAGAAGGTCGTAACTAACTTGCACAGAACGTCGTGCAAGATTGCCCCTGACGAACGACGCTAAAAGCACGGCTGATCGACATTTCGGGAAACCGGAGAATTGTACTGCAGGGCTGGTAATAGTAAGGCGGCAAAGTAAAAATACACGGTAAAACACTCCCAACAATACAGGGATGGGAAATTTTAAGTCAACATTAACTGTCCGGCCTTAAAAGGAACGTCGTGTGATTCCTAGTTCAGTCACGGTTTCATAAAGCTTGTTATGTAAACAAAGGCGGGTGAACATTCGACTGACTTAGCCCAAACCCACTGGTCTGACGTGCGCTGTTTTTTTTTGTTTGTGAGCGCGATCAACTTGAAACAGGATGGATAATTTAGAAGCCTAGGTCTGAAATTTAAATGGTACTTGCCCATCGAACTAGTCTAAAGGAACTGCTAGAATCTGCTAAAAATTGTGTACCTGAAGGATCAGTTCGAATAGAATCTCGTGGTCGTTAGAGTAGAATGGCAGGCGGCCGCACATCATCTCAAACATCACCACACCAAGGCCCCACCAGTCAACGGAACGCCCGTAGTCGTTGTCTAGGAGCAGCTCGGGTGCCAAATACTCGGGTGTGCCACAAAAAGTCTTGGTTGTCGCGCCGAAACCAATGTCCTCTTTGCACAGGCCAAAATCGGTTATTTTTATGTGTCCGTCCTTGTCCAACAACAGATTCTCCAGTTTCAGATCCCTGGTAAGAAAAAGAAAGTGGGCATCATTAAAAGTGGTCGAAGGGAGAGAAGGGGGTAAGACAAATCTGAAGGTGCGGGGGAGTGACTGAAGAGTTAGGCAAGAACATAACCGGCAGCGGCAGGCAAAACCAGTAATGGGGTTGGTACATGGTAAGTGGCCCATTGACTTAAAGAGGCTCCCTAATAGTAAATGGGAAATTCAACTCAAGTGCCGGATGAAGAGTGACGATTTTGACTGCATAAAAGTTGTCGGCGAGGACGAGAGAGACTGGACTGGCTAATTCGTAAAGTCAACCTTTGTCAGGACACAAAACTAGCTTTAAATACAGCCAGTCGCCAATGATGTGCAATAGCGCTCTGCCAGCATTTCAACACGATAAAAAAATGAAAAATAGTCTGGATGACGTGCAAAGTAGTTCGCATCTTGAATTCTCAATGCCTATATACTTAAATCCTACAGCGGAAACCAACAGACTCGCCGTGGTCCTTTAGCTACGTAGGATCGACAACCCTCACGATATGACAGTGGACCTGATCCCGAGTCTGACCATTTACGCCATTTTTAACTTCAATGAATCTAAGGAGTGCAAAATATGCCCACAGACGCGCCCTCAAAGGTTGAAGTACGGTTGCTCGTATAGTAAACAAGTCCGCTCCATAACTAACCGTGAAGACTGGTCTACATGAGATGGCGGACACCGGATTTACAGACAAAGGTTCTGTCTGGCCTGTGACACTTGAACCGAGATGCCCGCTTTGAAGGGCAAGGGCGACACTCGGAGGTACAAGCGTCTGGTAGTACTAAGTTTGGGTACAGCAGAGCGTCTGGAAATGGTTGGGAGGGGACGGGGTGCAGGGACATGAGGGAAAGAGAAATAGAGGTGGTAGAGCCCACTGGCGGGTGTGAGACTTTTCGGCGCATGAAATCGAAAGAGAGAGAAACAACTTTTAAACCTAAAGTGTGAGCAGGACACCAGTAGCACCCTGTGGAGAAGTAGGAAAAAGAAAGCCCGGAAAGGTAGGCATCGCTGTTTGATTTTGCGACTGCGTAGTGTAAGCGGTGCAGAGAACCCGTACTGGCCGGCGAAATGGGAGATTAAATAGACTTGCCTGTAAACAATATTCTGGCTATGGAGGTAACCAAGTGCTGAAGTTATCTCTGCTGCGTAGAACTGAGTACGGGGTTCGGAGAACACACGTTCCCGTGAGAGGTGGAAAAACAGTTCTCCTCCGTTGACATACTCCATGACGAAGAAAATGTGATCTCGCGTGGTAAACGAGTATCGCAGTTGAGTCATGAAGGGGTGGTTATTTTGCTGCAAAACTCGGTGTTCAGTCTGGGTGTGCCCGACCTCCTCTTTCTGTAGGGAAATTATTATCAAAAAGAGAACAGTTCAATCAGCCATGTCATGTTAAGTTGTGTAAAGGGGTATGGGGGAGGAGAAAAGACTTCCACCACAAAAATTGAACCTCACCTCTATTAGGACAGCTTTCTTCAAGATTTTCATGGCATAAAAGTACCCAGTTTGTTTTTCTTTACACAAAACGACTTTGCCAAAGGTACCTTTACCCAAAACCTTTAGCAGCTCAAAGTCGCTCAGTTTGTATCTCTTCGGCGGTCTAAAGAGGAAAACGAAAGCATAAGCAGGGTCAGAAAGGAGTAATCGGAAACTTGAGTACACAAAAAGATGAAAACTGTACGAGTGCCGCAAGGTTCTTCTCACCAAAGTAGTTAAGCACTGAAGCAAAAACAAGCACGTGCAGGAAAATAAGCCTGTGCGTCAATTACTAGGCCCCGCATCTCCTAGATAGAATCGAGAAAACATAATGTCGCAGTTGTCACTAACACTCAAGAGGGTTAGAGGTAAATAACGCACTAGAAATTATGAAGTAAAAGTACAAAATACGGATAAAATGTGGATTTCCTAGCAGCAAAGTTACCGAATTCCCATAAAAGTCGTGCAGAAACACACTTTTTTTCGGCCATATGTCGGCCTTTTCCATTTTCCCACAGCAAAACTTCGCAGGCAATTCACACAGTGACTTGGGAAAGGAACGGAACATATGACTAACAGGTCGGGCGGAAAATCTCGTATACTGTTATCTAAAATGCCTCGACGAAATCACGTAGCATAAATTGAAAAGTATAGCAGGCGCCGAAGCTCCATAAACAATGACTTCAATTTTTGGCAGGCTCATGAAGTAAAAGACACTACCAAGGAACGCCACCCCTACATGACGATATTCTGGTCTTTGAAAGAGCTGCTTTTCAGTCCCTTCTGTGCGCCACACTGCGAAAAAGGTACTAGAGAGTACTGGGTGTTCTTTTTTATTTCCGGTGTCTGTACAAATTCAGTCATATCTGGTGCTCACTGTTTACACAAATTTTAGAGAGAAGTGCGGCTTCGAAGTGAAAATTTAGGCTTTTAGAAGATGGAAAACTATGAAAACTTCTAAGTGGCCGGCATGGTTGTCTGCAAAGACTTCTATTAATTTTATTACAGCTGCACATAAGTACTAGGAGGCCTCATTACCGAGAAACGAAAAGTTATTTGAATTGGCGTCAGAGAAAACGCAGTTTCAAAACATACAGTCATCAGTACGCTTGGGAGTATATTTCCTGCTAGTAATTTCTGCAAATTTCCTTACAGTAGGTATGCTACCTCATGAAATGCTGGACGAAATTCCGAAATGCGTTTTCGACTCGAAAAGAGTACTTAGGTAGGGTTGTGGTAGTAATTATCCTGCAACATACTTCGGAGATATTTTAGTCACACAAAAACTGCTCTGCATAAAAAATGACTAAGTAGCATGAATTTTCCCCACTGATTTCCGATGACCTTATAAATTCAAATATATTTTATAGAAAACATGCACAAAAATATCTTTTCTATGCTCGTTTGGTAGGAAGCTAGGTTTTCAAATTTTGTCTCCGAGGAAAGGGCATTTTTCGTTTTAAGAAAGTCTCTATGGGATTTTTTAAGATTGTGAAATGTCCATTCATAAAGCATCGTATCTGTCCACATCGTAGATTGTCCGCATATATTGTAAAACTTTATAAGCCCTATATGACGTCTTCTTAACACCGTTTAGAAATGGATGATTTACTTACACGGAAAGTACACGGTTTGTGGCTTGGAAACCCTGAGCGTAAGTGTAATGACAGGTCGGGCTCAAAATCATTCAGGAGTTTAAAGAGTCCTTTAAAACCGAAAGATGTCAGTTCGTCAACCATAAAATTTAAACACATAATTTGCTACCGCATGAGTACAAGAAAGGAGACTTTTGCGTATATTCTCTACGAAACA